TTACTTTAGTGTTAATTTTGCCAAAAGTGTCCAAGGATTTAGATGTAAGCATTTATAAAGATTGTAGTTCATTATTTTTTTTTATTCTTTTTCAGTGTTGGGTTCGTCACAAGTTTTCTATTTCTGTGAAATAAAAATAAAAATGCAGTCCAAACAATATTAATAGTTTTCTAATATGTTTAAAGGTATTCAGGCATAAGATACTCTTGTACCCAAGTACCTATTGCAATGTATTTGCAGTTTCAATCAAAATTCGTGCCTGGGGAAGGTAAACTATATTCGTTTATTTTTTTTACATAGGTAAGGTAAAAGAAGTCAGCTATTTTCCCTCCTGAGCTTTCAATTTGCTGTGAATACAAATCTCTTAAGAGTCATCTGTTTTCAGAGTGCTGAATACTTATGCAACAGTGCGGAGAAAGCATCGAACGTTAGTATTAATATCCAATTGTCTTAAAAAGGGCAATCGCTGATCGGAGCAGATTCTTTAATTGATCACTGACTTGTTGTTCAAACAATGTGTTTTAATCATACGATAATCTTTATTCTACTAAAGGTAATACGAAAAATACTCATATGGAAGTTATATTTGTTACTATACATGGTACATACATTTTATATTATTTACCTCTATTCTTATGACCACACGTAAAGGGCTTTAAATTGATTGAATATTTCGGTACTTAAAATAGATATACATACACATTATTTGCTATTGTTTTGCATGTATGTACACCATTATTGTAATCACTGATATGCATTAATTTAATTACTTTTTCTTTCTGATTTTATGGTTAATGAAAGCCACACATACATATATCGATCGGTACCACAACTTATTTAAATTTAAGATTAAAATATGTACAATACGTATTATATATGCCTCTTCAGCCTTCACTTATGTATATTTCACGTTGTTTTTATATACACACAGATGTACATTTTTATGCCTTTTTTAACAGAAGATACATAACTGTAGAACCCAGTTCACATAAAATTTCATATCGCATTATGGTGTTAGTTAGAAACACAAAACATACATATATGTACATACATATATACATATGAAAAATGTAGACCCACATGAGATAATATCTTGTATCTTAAAATTTGAAGAATGTAACACTTATTATATAAAGTACTCGTGCTTATATGTTGATACTTTTTCAGTTATATTACGACACATATATATTGTATTGTATATGCAATGGGATTTTTCTAACATCCAGAGTTGTCCACTAACCAAGTTACCGAAATACTATTCAAGAGTCTGGGCCACTCGTGGTGGTTGGTAATGCACATTCAGATTTATGTTGGAAATCGTGTATCAGATAAACAAGTTACCTAAAAAATATATAAAAGTTACATTCGTTAATGAGTTTTTCGTCTAACTACCTATCAAAATGTCTTTACTTATGAGCTTTATCGACGAAAAGTGGGCTTAATGTAATCGAATTTGGTTTTCTGGTTTTCGTGTTCGCATTACGTGATATATCTTTTCGACATAACATACATATAGAAACATATCTGAGGTATAAAAAGCTGTATTATTTATATTTTTGGTTTTCCTCCTCGTAGCTAAATACATGACAAAATCGCTCTTTACTTTAGTAAGTGTTCCGTAAGGGTTCTGGCTGGAACCCTTTGGATCAGCGACTTAAGTGTGTACCAAAATGTTGGTTGGTGTGGTTTATTTACTGCATATTGTATAATTTGTTTGTATATTTGTGAATTTACCATAATGGTTCGTTCTGCTAATTAGGTCGGTCGGATACAATTTCATCTCGATCGAGTTAAAATTTAAATTTGGTGGACATCGATGATAGGCGGAGATATTATTTGAATTTACCACTTCTGTACATAGACATATGAAAATGTTCATTTTCTGCATCGGTTTCTACGATTTCTCTATCCTTACTGTACTGTATCTGTATCGGTGCCTTACATTGTTATCACAATCACATTAGAATAGGTTGTAAGCAAACAATCGGTATTCTCCTACAACACCCCGAACTGATCTTTCCATTCCTTCCGTGATTCAGGTAAAAATAGGTTGGCCAAGACGCATTCGCTTTGGGGCTTTACTTTTGTGCCATATGTTTAATTATAGAAATATGTGATACAACTCTAACATTACGAATATAAGTTTTTTGCTTGTTTCATTTCCATGCACGCTATTCTGAGACATACAAAAAATACATTAAGAATCCGTTGAGTTGACCCATAAGAGGCATGTATACTTGTATACGAATATATATATATTCATCATATATATAAAAGTACAAAATTCTTGTTTTCTGTTTTCCGTTTAACTTTTTGTAATTTAAATACGCTCTAATATATCTATGAAAAAAAGTGCCTAATCCCTAATGTGTGCATGTCAAATGGTGTCTGTAGAATGTATGTCTGTAGGTACTTATACTTATGCGCCACTATGATCAGAATACAAAAGCGAGGCCCAATCAATCCGTATTTCGCATCCTTTGCCTTTGCCTTTGGCTTGGCTTGATTCGGCTCTTGCTCGTGGTCAAAGTAGCTGTAATTAGAAGCTTCGTTAAGGTACTTAAATGTTTCATTAAATTTCTGTTTTCAGTGGTAGGTTTAGATACACACATCATTTGTAGGATGTGTAGGTACATATTCGAATACATTTTTCAAAAAGCTGAAAAATTCTCTTTTCTTCAAATTTTTCACATTGTTTTATTTTTTTACTAAGCAATAAATAAAAGGTTTGCACACATTACAAATGTTTGTTAACAAGGCAAATACAGAATGAATTCCGTTGCTTCGCCTATTTTCTTTCTTTTATTACTTCCATTAACCAACATATATTAGGAAGTGTTTGCATTCATTTTGGGACAAAGAAAATTACATATTTACATTAACGTCATATGTTACATTGGGGACTAGTTATAAATGAAACAAAAATGCTTTCTTGGTTTCTTGTGTTTAATTTTTTTAATAAAAGTAAGCATTCATATAGCGCAAGGTATTTTTACGTAAGCCCATATAAAAAGTATAAAATGTTTTTTTACTGTACTCGATTTATAAAAATTACAAATGTTTATATAAAAATAGATATATATATATATACAAAAACATACAAAGTCAAATGGTAATACATACAATATAACAGACAACGAAAACAGAAATTTTCTTTAATATTGTTATTTTTTTAGGGTTTAGATTACTCGAAAGTTTTTTACAGCTTGCACACTTGTATCAAGGGGTAAAAACACTAGCAGTGTCACGACAACCTTGGCACTTTCATTAAAATCATAACACATTAATAGCCATCAGACAGGAATTACAAATACCTGTTACAATTTACCTAGTACATGAGTTCTTGTCAATTAGGTCAAGTGATTGAACAAATAAAGTTTTGGGCAGGGCGAAATTAGTGGATATCTTAAGACCTAGAGGTGTATGCCTATATATCAGACAAAAAAATTTTTTTTTTTGCCTACTGTTCTTTATAAAGTGTTTTGACAAAGTCACATTTTTAACGTTATTAATCAAAACTGAGAAAATGGAAAGTCATTATTTGCTAGTCCTTGATTTTTAGAAATATTTCATTTTGATCATGTGTGGGGCAAAGTTTTGGTTTCTGTTACGCAATTGGATGTTTACTTTCAATAACAGGACTACACTGCATATTCAGTCTAATCGTTTGAGTAAAAACAAGGGATTTTTCGATCGTTTTCTTAAACTTTTCAATCTATCAATTTCAGAAATGTAAAACAAACAAAAAGTAAAGTGAAATAAACAAGTTTCTGTTTGTTTTTGTTCTGTTAAAGTTTTAAAAGCAAATTCAACAAAATCAGCTTTAATAACTCACCAGAATGTTTATCATAAAACTATTAATGTTCATAAAAGTTCCTTTCTACCGGTACCTATACTAGAGCAAACTTAAATTTTAGTGACAGATGAGCTCGAAACACCTTTTGACGGTATGTAAAAGTAAAAATTGTTGTTAATATTGCTTGAAATTTTCGTTTGAAAGGTAGCTCTAAAATAAGTACAAAATCAAAATAACATTTTATAAAAATACAAAGAATTGGATGTTAAAAACTTTCTTCACAGGTCAGGACTGCATCTCTATTTATATTCAACAGCGTTGACTTTTAAACATATGCATGTGGTTTTTAAGCAACTTGATCTACAAAAATGATCTTATCTTTGGTTTACAACTAATTAAAAACTTAAAGTAAAAGTTACTCCATAGTTGGATAATTAAATATATTTATATGTATATATATATATATATATATATGTCCATATGCATAACAAGTAAAAACAGTTAGTTGAGACATTCTAGTTGTCCATTTATATATATTTGTGGTATTATTTCTGGCTGCTTATGGGTTTGTTACTCTTATCCTTGCCTTGCGTGTGATGTGTCGCAAACACAGGTGCCTATGGCTACATTTTACATATCTTAAATTTTCTATACACACTAGGTTTTAGTTATTTATATTAAGCTTGCTTCTGACACCAGGGAGAAACTGTATCATGCTGTCTTTCTTGCTGAATTTACAATCAAATAAGTATTGTTAAGGCTGATATATATCTGTATATACGACCCGTGCATATCTACATTTATAGGCCCGCACACAGCGCTGGTCAAGTTCCACGGTGTTTGGCCCTATCCACATTTATATGCATCTGTATATACGTCAGCATACAGCTCTTTCTTTTTCTTAGCTTATACACTGTGACGGTGTCTGTTCTGAGGGTGTCCAACATCGTATCGAATCGTTCCTATAGACATGCAATTAATGTGGCTGTTTTTCTTCCAAGGATCGATATCGCTCAGGATTGTGTTGTTCTCCCTCCTCCTCTAAAGATACCACCACTCAACTCCACTCCACTCCACCCACTCCACCCACTCCACCCCACTCCACCCACCCTCCCACCCACCCACTCCACCCACCCCCCACTCCACCCACCTCCACCCACCCACCCACCCACTCCACTCCACCCACCCACCCACCCACCCACCCACCCACCCACTCCACTCCACTCCACTCCACTCCACCCACTTAAGAGGGGAACTCTAGTTGGCGACCAACAGCTGCTGGTACGACGATCCGGAGCCGTAGAAGGAGCTTATGCCGTCAATTAGCTTGCTGTTGCTGTTCCCTGGGGACGAATCCTGAGCAGCGGGCTGCTGCGGCTGGTGGCTACTGGTGGTGGAGGCGGCTCCGGTGGCGGCACCAGCGGTCGAGGGGCTGGACGCCGCTGCCGGCAGAGGGGGCACCACGCCCACGGTGGGAGTGCTGAGGGGGCTGTTGTCAGCCGAAGAGTCCCCGGTAATGGCCAGGGCTACCGACGGAGAGGTCTCCTCCACCAGGCCCACGCCGCACTCCACGTTCAGTCCGAAGCAGCTGTCGCTCCTGTTGGGGCGGTCCGGGCCGGATGCTCCTCTGCCCTGCTGATGCTGACTACCGGGGTGGCCGGCGCCGAAGTAGCACGGCTCCAGGTATGTACTGTACTTGTTGGCTCCTGTACTCCCGGTGCCGCTGACGAAGAGCCCCAAGCTGGCATCCGCGTTGAAGTGCGGCTCAAAGAGGTTCCGCGGATTGCCGAACGGCGGGTACAGGCCGATTGCCATATTCGGGTAGTAGAACGGGTCGGCGGCAGGTGTACCGACGGCGGCGCCGGATGGGCCTCCACCCAAGGACAGGGGATTAGGTGAGAGGGAGCGGGCGGGCGACACGGCTTCCAGGCCGCCGAAGGCCGACACCGATGAGCCCGCAGACGGGACGACTCCGTGGCCGTGGTGCATCTGCTGCTGCATCGCGCGCTGCTTGATGTAGTTGGAGAACTCAGTGGGCGACATGCGGTAGGCACTGCTGGGGATGTACAGATAATAGACGAGAATCAGACAAATATCGATGATAGAACTGTATGGTCTGGAGAAAACTTGGGAGATAACAGAGACCAGCTTTCTTTAAGAAACTACAAAACAGTGATAAATGTTTAGTAATCAGTTTTGAGAAAAAAAAGTATTTTTGTTCAAAAAAATTTAAAAATTAATGGTTATTCATGTTCATTTTTTTCCTTAAAAAAGCCATATAATTTCGCACAGATATGTAAAACTAAAAAAATTTTAGTTTTGTGTTACTCGTAGAAAAAAGGCTATATTGTAACCCTTGAAAATTATGTAACAAGTAGAAGGAAGCGTTTCCGAACCTATTAAGTATATACATATTCTTAATTAAGATCAATAGACGATTCAATGTCCTTGCCATGTCCGTCCGTCTGTCCGTCGGTCTGTCTGTCTGTCCTTCTGTCTGTCTATCCGTATGTACGAACGTCGAGGTCTCGGAAACTATAAAAGCTAGAGATTTTAATCAGAACACGCTCACTCGAATGCCCGCAAATCTTGAAACACTTAACACGTCTGTCACGTCACTCTGAGACGTGTTAGATCTTAGCTGTTGTACTGTGTGTGTGTTTTGATCAAATTTGTCAAAAAAAATCGAGCTATTATTTAAGAAATTATAGGATTAATATTTCCTTAGCCGTCGCTCTGCCGCCGCTCTGTCACCCGCTGTTTTGACGACAATCGCTGATGTAAAGAGACTGAACGAAGGAATTGTTAGTGGGGGGTGGGGGTGCTGCACGCTCTCAGCTTCTAGTGTTGGCTATGCAGTTCGACAGATGGCGCCATCTAAACTCAGATACGTATACGATATGTTTCAAAACATTGAAGCTATGATGATTTGCAGCTAAATTATTTGATAGTTATTTTATATATTTTTATTATTTCTAAGGGAACTACATGATATAGACGTCCGATTTTGATAAAATTTAAACCATAACTCTGAAATATTTAAGCATTGCTATATGACGAAGAACTTAAAAAAAAATTAAAAAACAGAAAAGTTATAATTTTTTTTCGTTTATTTTTCCGATTGTTCCTATGGGAGCTATATGATATAGTCGTCCGACTTTGATGAAATTTAAACCGTAAATTGGAAATATTTAACCATTACTAAATGTCGAAGAACTAAACAAAAAATTTAAAAACAGCAAAGTTATAATTTTTTTCATTTATTTTTCCGATTGTTCCTATGGGAGCATATGCTATAGTCGTCCGATCCGGCTCGTTCCGACTTATATACTACCTGCAATAGAAAGACAACTTTTGGGAAAGTTTCGTGCAGATAGCTTTAAAACTAAGAGACTATTTTGCATATAAACGGACGGACAGACGGACGGACAGACGGACATGGCTATATCGACTCGCCTAGTGATGCTGATCAAGAATATATGTACTTTATAGGGTCGGAGATGTCTCTTTCACTGCGTTGCAAACTTCTGACTGAAATTATAATACCCTCTGCAAGGGTATAAAAACGGGTATTTAATTAAAATCTTGCAGGAAATTGATAAATTTGGCGATTTTACGAGATTGATTTTTGGATCAAACCAATACATGAATAATCATTATTTGCAGTCCCTGGTAGATAGTGTCAATAATTTCGTTTTTAAGAGAGAAAAGGTGAAGTATAAAAGATATATGATTCGAAAAGACTTAAAAGTAAAAGCAAAACGCAGCGAAATATACTTTTCATTTTTCTAAAATAAACAAAATTAGCTAATTTTACCCGATTGTTTCTATGGCAGCTAAAGGATATAGAGATCTGATCGAAAAGATTTCGTAACATAATTTTCTAGCTATCTGGATAAACCTTTTCCAAAAGTTTTCCTTCTGTGGCTGGTTGTATATAAGCCTGAAATGGCCAAATCCGACGACTATATCGTATAGCTCCTATAGGAAAATAGTATGCAAACACCATATTCGAGTGGCCTGACTTTAAAATACCCGATAACAGCAGAGCTTTAGGTTGCGTCATCTACCGAACTGCAGGGTCACTTCTATAGCGTAAGAACGAGCAGCACCTCGAATTTTGAAATATCCAAAAATATACGTAATGCTAATAACTTCTATAAAAACAGTTCGATTCGGAAAATGGTGTGGGTCGATAGATATTGAACATATTCAGCTTAATTACAGGGCTTTACCATTCCTCAGAGTCACATAAGAAAATTTTAAAACTCGACGTTCATACGGACAGGTCGACTCTGCTATTGGTCCTGATCAAGAATGTACAGGGCGATTCACAAAAATGTTGCGTTTTCAAATGGCTATACAACAAAACGGGGGGATATTTGTTCAATCTTTTTTTTATTGAATAGCCTTAACAATGCGCTTTATTTGTGGAAGACTACTTAATGCGTTTTCAGTTCACGCAATGGGCCGAGGAGCGCTTGGTGCAAGATGAGCATTTTTATCGAAAAATCATCTTTTCAGATAAAGCTCATTTCCGCCACGGTAGTTTCGTCAATAAGCAGAATTTCAGCATTTGGGGCCCTGTAAGCCCCCACGTCGTCTTGGAAAAGCCAATGCATCGCCATAATCGTCAATGTTGACCGCTATCGCGGCATGTTGGGAGCCTTTTTCTTCCCCCGAATGGAAGTCCACAATAAAGTCGAACTTCTGAGCGGTACGTTAGAATATCGAATAATCAGCCGAAAAGGCGATATCAACTGGTAGCTTCGCAGGCCTTCCAGGGCAGCCATATGAGTGAAGGGGTCTCCCACAAATAAACCGCAATGTAGGTAGGGGCTATCCAAAAAAAATATATTTTAAAACTATACAACTGTTATTTTGTGTAGTCATTTTAAACGCACATTTTTTCGTAGGCCATCTTCTATGTATATTCATTATACGGTCGGAAACGCATTCTTCTACCTGTTAAATACTTTTAAACGAGCACATTATAATTGTTTATAAGGGGAATAACAAGAAAGAAAGCAAAACTCGGCAAGCCAATGTTTATATAACCTTGAACAAAAAAGTAATACTCTACAAAACAACTATAATCCGATGTGTTTAACAAGAAAAGAAGCAAACTTTGACAAGCCGAAGTTTATATACCCTATAAAAATTAAATATTCTTTATAACATCTAAATATCGATTTTAATTTAATGTTAAAAATTAATTTTTTTACGATAATTTTCTGCTCAACTATTCGATCGTTCCAGGGCAGTTAAATGCTATCATTTTCTGATGTTAATAAAATTAAAGGCGAAATTTTAAATTATTAAACCCTTACTATGTAAAAAACAAATTTACTTTTTTTTTTGTTATATTTCTTTTATTATTTTGATAGTTCTTATGGGAACTAAATGTTCTAGTCGACCGATTTTAATCAAATTAAAACCGTAATTCTGAAATGTTAAACTATTACTATTTTTCGAAGAATAAAAAAAAATAAAAAAAAACAATAAAAAAACAACAAAAAAAGCTAATATTTTGATTTAATTTTATAATTAAGCCTATGTAAGCTATATGATAAAGTCGTCTGTTTTTTATGAAATGGAAACCATTTGTCTATATGCGTAAAAAATAACAATATCTTGGAGAATATCCGTATATGTTTAAAGCATCCAACTTCTGTCGGCTGTTCAATTTTCTTGCAATTTATTTTTGGATCTTTCCTAAGGAGGCTATATGAAATAGTCGTCAAATTTTTATAAAACTAAAACCGTATTTCTGAAATCGTTAAAAATGAGGCTTAGAAACGAAGTTATTAAATTGTTTCTTTCGGGAGCTAAACGATATAGTACACTCATCCGGCCTGTTCCGAGTTATCAACAACCAACAACAGAAGAACAAACTTTTTGGAAAGTTGTATCCAACAAGCTTTAAAACTGATGGAGTAGTTTGACACACAGCTTTATAGACTCGTCTGGTTTTGCTAATCATGAATATATATACTTCGTAGGGTAGGAAAATTTAATTTTTGACTGAATTTATAATACCCTTTACAGTTATGTTTTTATGAAAATCAATCGACTAAAACATATATAGGAATTCCAGCAGTCATAGAAACGATAAAAAACGCATTTAAAAAAAAATAACTTCATTGTTTTATCTACGTTTAAAAATAAAAAAATAGTCGGTATACGGAATATTTCATTTTTGTTAAAGCGGCAAGTTTAGATAAACTTAAATTTTTTTTGTTTGCTAATTTAAAATTTTCAAAATTTCATACCCGTTTATGCTAAACTATTTGTGTCTATTTATAAGTACTTTTTACTTCTACAATCACTTTTTTTTCTTGAGTTGTCAGACTTGTCAGCTGAGAACTTAAATCAATAAACTTCAAATCAATAAATAAATAAATAACTCTCAAAATCTAAAAATTTTGTTTATTAAATCCTTATAAACACATTTGTTTAGGGACAAGGAAGAGTGATGTTCTGTGCCGTAATGGACCAAAAGGTAACTGTATCAGCACTGGCCTTTTTAAACAAAAGAGGAGGAAGTTTTATGATTCATTAACAGTTCGTTAAAAGGTCTCACCTGTTTGTGCGCTTGGAGCTGGTCTTCAGCTTGGTACTGCCGAATTTAGTCTGCGCGAAGGTAGCCGTGGTAAAAGTTAATGGAGTTTGGGCGCCACGCTGCATAAATGCCCCGCCGGAGGCGTTGGCGGTGGCACTATTTCCCGGTACCGGAACGGGAGCGGTTCCCGGACCGGGTCCAGGCCCCAGGTTCGACCCGGAGCCCGCTCCAGAGCCCGAGCTGCAGCTGCCAGAGATCGTGGGGTTCGGACTGCCCTTGTAGGTGGGCGAGCTGGAGGCAGCCGAATGCGGCGAGGATCCTGATCCCGCTTGGGGCAGCGCCAGGGGAAGGTTCTTGGGACTCAGGCTCAGGTTGTTCATGGTCGTGTTCACCGCGTCGATGGGACGAAAGCATTGGGCCTCCGGATTAAACATCTTCGTGACCTCTCGGTCCGCAGAGTGACTATCCTCGTGGTTCTCATTGTTCTCCGTGTAAAGTATCTAGGGATTTAAAAGGTGATCAGTTTAGCAAGTGTTTCAAGACCTCATACACCTAAAAGTGCTGTCTTATTATTTCGCTAAACCCCATAAAGCTCAGTACAATATATGAATGCTTTTACAGAATGGCCAATATTCCGGGGTGCTACATAGATTTCGTTCAACCAAATGTCCATTCAAACTGGATTGTAGTGTGGTTGAAAGAGATTTCTGAGTCACGCAGATTGTAAAAGCTTGGATATTTATGATTAAAATAATTACTTTAAAAATTAAAATATATTAGTCATATTATAGTTGTCAAAAGTTGAATTCATATGATCTCATTAAAGCTTTGTATAACCACGCCATTCTATAGTGTATGCCCGGTAAAGCTGCATATAAATAAAGGAACAAAGAAAGGAAGAAAACTTCGGCATGCCAAAGTACATAAACCCTTGCAGCTATTTCAAAAATTAAATATTCTTGAAAACATTAAAATTATGATTTACTTGCGTATATGTTTATAAACATTGAAGCTTTGATGAAAACAGAGCTCTTATACCCTTGCAGAGGGTGTATAATTTCAGTCAGAAGTTTCCTATAAAGTATATATATTCTTGATCAGCGATAGAGTTTAATTTTATTTAATTTTTAAAATAATTGCAAGGGCATATGAACTTCGACTTGCCGAGACAGACTTATTTCTAATAGAGGGATATTGCAGCTAGTGTTTATTATATTAAAGCATTATAGACAAGATTTCATTTGTTAATTAAATAAAAAGGGAATAAACAATGTTAAATGTATAGGATTTTGGGCAAGTTTTTTTTTTTAATTTTTATCAACAACAACGGCTTTATACTACAGTTGCCGTAGTACATTTGTACATTAACTGCAAGTCTACACTTATTGCGATAATAAATTTAAGTATTTTCGAAAGCTTTAATTGCGATTAAAATGGAAACTAAGTAGAAACTCGACACTTACCTTCACGGCTCCCTTTTCTCCAATGCGAAAGGAAACCTCCCCGGGATCCACCCAGACAGACAGCTCATTGGGCAGGTTCTCCAGGATATCGCCGATCGGCACTCCGCTCTCCCTCGCCGCTCGTTCCAGCACCGAATCGATGGGATCGCCGGTCTTCAGGCAGCGGTAGGCGGAGCCCTACATTGAAACGCGTTAGGAGAGTTGAAACAAAAAGGAAGCTAGCTTCAGCAAGCCGAAGTTTTTATACCCTTGCAGCTATTACAAAAATTATTTTTTTTTAAATGACTTTGTTTAAATTTGTATTTATAATTTTTTTTTTATATTTGTCGATGAATTTTTTAATAGTTCCTACGTAATTCTGAAATAATACGCCTTTACTTTACCCCGACAATTGAAAACTTAATTTGATTTCATTTGATTTTTCGATTGCTTCTATGAGAAGATTACAATAATACTTTACTACAGATTACAAGATACTTAACTTAATCGAATAATAATGCGTACAGCGTCCCAAATTTCTCAATATAAATGCAACTTTTTAATTAATTGTAATTAACTTAACCACGAACGTTTGAATGTGGGACACTTCCTGTGAAAGCGTCACAGGCAAATTTTTAATAGTTTTTGAATGAAAGCGTTTTAAAGAGCAACCGATCGCAGAAAAAACCGCTCCACAAAATCTTTAAACGTGTTTTTCTCGAAAATATATTTTTTAAAATTGCTAATATTATAACTCAACGAGAAATTTACCGATCAACTATAAATTGAAAATGAGTGTGAGTGTTTTGAATATATTTACGATCTACGATCTTTGTGATTGATTGAAAATTGTCAAATTGGCATAACGAAACGACTTCTTTTTAACCCAAAAAAAAATACTTTTTTTCAGACGTGCGCAGTTGTGTTAGTTCTATAAGTGATATTTTTCCAAATTTTAGGTCTTTGTATTGGAAATATATTCTTATATCTTAACCTTTTTGAATAAATTTTGTTTCTGCTACTCATTTGACGGAATCTTTTCTTCAGTTGGGGAACTTTTTTTTCTGTACCTCTGATGAAAGCATATAACTCTGTTATTTTTTATTATATTTTGTAAAAAAAAAAAAATAACAAAGAATAGCCGAAAATATAGCTTATTATGTTCAAAAAACTTTTAAAACTTTGTTCGATTACTTTCTTTGTAAAAAAATCGGGAAATCGTCTAATTTTCTATTGGTTACACTGTTATAACCCCTTAAATCTGAGAAACTAGTTTACGCAGAAACGGAAAGAAGAACGGACAGACAGACGGACAGACGGACATGACAAAATCGGCTCTTTAGTAATGCTGGTCAAAAATATATATACTTTATAGGGTCGGAAATGTCTTTTTCACAGCGTTGCAAACTTTTGATTGAAGTTATAGTACCTTCTGCAATGGCATTAAAAATAAAAGAGCATATGGCTCACCTTGAAAGGCTTCTCCGGATACCAGTGGCCCTGGAACTTGTCCCGCAATGCCTTTTCCAGCTCCTCGCCGAATATGTTGACACGTCTACGCGGCAACTTGTTATAGAGATAGGAAATGACAAAGTTTAGGGCGACCTGGATTTCAATATGCATTTTGGCGTGGCCTTCACTGCGTTCTCTGCCCACGTTCGGGATCTGGGACTCCGACCTGGTTTGATACCGGTTACGTCTGCTGATCCGTCTCTGGATCGGTGGCCGTTATGGGTGAGGGCGCAGCTTGAGCTGCGACTTCAGGTGGTTTTCTAGCGATGAGTCCTGTTTATTAAGGCTCTTTGCAGATCATCCGCACATTGATGGTAATTTGGAATACTTGGTTACTGCTGTGGCTTGATGGTTTCGTACCCTTCAGTTCTGTTCCTTTTTTTATTTTTTTTGGGTTTCTCCTTTTTTTATTTTTTTGCTTGGTTTTTTCTTGTTGGTGGGGGAGGTTGGTATTGTTGTTTAGTTAATGTTTTAGTGTTTCACCGTGTGAAAAATATATCTGTAATTGTTAAAGTTTCTCGACTAGAATGAGAATCGTGTTAATTTGAAATTCGAAAAGGTGTGTTTCTCTTGCTTTTAGTTGTCGTAATAAGCGTAGTTGCCTAGATCCTAAATATTTATGTTGTATTTACAAGGCATGTTTGAATATTAAATTATATACAGATGTGTGTTGTGTCTTTTGTCGTCGGCTTTTATTTAGCAATGGGTGAACGTGTACCAAAAAGGTTTTGCTTTTTCTTTTCTTGGTGTTGCATTTACGTCGATTCTCTGTGATTTGGCAACCCGACGACACTTTCTTAAAACTTTTTCATTAATAAAAGTTTATTAGGGCTTGCACTTCAATCATATGGGTGGTGCTATCTGAAATAAAAAAAAAAGATTTAGTTATTAAAAAATAATCTTGCTTCATATTACCCCATTTCATTCTTGTTACCTTCTAAAATATTCTTAGTTATATATATTCAGAAAGCCGAAACTTAAAAACACTTGCAGCTATTGCAACAGTGACGCTATGATGATTTTCCGCTGAGTTTTTTGATCATTCCAATGGCAGCCATAAGATATCGTTGTCCGAATTTAGCAAAATTAAAACCGTAGTTCTTAAATAAAAACGATTAGTTTGTGTAGAAGTATATTCAAATCCATTTTTAGTATTTTTATATCCGTTACACGTAGAGTAAAAAAGTAGACATTATGTAACAGGTAGAAAGCAACGATTCCGACCCTATAAAGTATATATATTCTTGATCAGGATCAATAGCCGAGTCGATCTAGCCATGTCCGTCTGTATGAACGTCAAGATCTCAGAAACTATAAAAGCTAGAGATTTGGGATTTCACATGAAATTCATACGCAGCTACGCCCACTCTAACGCTCACAAATCGATCTTAAATACACAAAAAAAGATAATTTTACAAAACCAATTAGTTAAATTAAATATCGTCAACATTATAATGCATTTTAAATAATTAAATTTGGTGAACTTTTGCGCACGTCTAACCACTTCACTTGAACTTCACTTTTGTTTTAAGGAAAAGCTAACTTAACGCAGCTACAGCTGCAAAATTGAGCACGAGTTCACGATCTGCATTCTATTTTTATATAACCCGTTAGATTTCCGGAAAAAGCTGGTTTACATTTTGACAAATTAGAGACAAATTATGGCCCATGGGCACAACCACTTTGCAATGGGTGCTAAATATGATTTAGACGTACGATCCGGGTAGTTTCGACTTATATACTACTTGCAAAAGACAATGTTAGGGTTAGTTTCATGGAAATAGATTAACAACTGAAAGATTAGTTTGCGTAGAAACAGACGGACGGACTAGATCGACTTTCCTAGTGATGCTGATCAAAAATATATATATACTTTATAGGTTTCAAACTTTTGACAGAAATTACAGGGTGCCCACGAAAAAATTGCGTTTTAAACTGGCTATAAAAAACGGGTGGATGTTTTTCACAAATTTTGTTTGTTTTGAATAGCCTTAAAATTGCGGTTTAAATGTGAAAGACCACTTCATTCACATGGTTGCACCGGAAGGCCTTGCAGTAGGTCATCCGATCGAGCCAATTTTTCGACTCATTTTGATAAAGGCCTTAATTGGGACTTCTATCTCCTGCTTTAGATCGTCAATCGTCGCTGAATGGTTGGCGTAGCACTTATCCTTGACGGCACCCCACAAATAATAGTTCAAACTAGGACAAATCGCATTTGCAAGGCGGCCAGTTGACTATTATTGATTACAATTATTTGGTTTTCAAATGTATTGCTCAAAAGTTGAACTGTAACGTTTTCTAAATGGCACGTAGTGCTGTCCTGCTGAAACAATGGAAAATCTATTTATCACTTGACTGTTATATTAAGCAAATTATGGGAATCTAACTTATGGATGTTATTCAATTATGATTCGTTCAACTAAAATTTTGGTTCTTGAATACATAACATTTTAGTCGACTAACTCATTGAACCTTATGCCACTTACACATAAAACGTAGTCCAGACTCTTATTAATAAACAAAACCTTTTCCAAGACCCCTTTTTGGGTGCCCAGATCTTAGAGAAAAACAAGGAACAGGAAATAACCAACGACTAAGAAATCCATATTTCCACACACATGGCGGCCAAACGCAACCGCGATGCGGACATTGTCAAGCACAAGATGGACCTACGGGCCCGCTTCAAAAAGCTGGTTAGGGCGGTCATTATGAACCAGTCGTGGCTTTCCGACGAGGAGGAGCAGGGCATCTCCATGAATGTCAAGAAGAACGTTGCTTTGATGCGTCAAAAGCGAAAGCCCGGCATGATAACCCTAGCGGTGAGCTGGGCCTTAGTGTATTGAACGGTAATACGATTCAACAAAAATTTGCAGGAGAAGGCACTATTGCGTTCCAATCCCACTCTGAGGACAATTGAGGAACGTAAAAAGCTTTGCATTCTGATAGCAGGACTGAACTGTTTCTCCAGAATTCCACCGGTAAGAGTAGAATTTAATAAATGTATTTGATCGACCAAAATACCCACTATCGAGCTTAGAAAATACGGGCACGTATGGTGCCAGTTCTGAAGTTTATGTCCATCAGTGAAACACGATTGATTATCAAGAAGGGCAACATGCCCATCTCAGTCTATTTTATACTGAACGGGGAGGTCGAGATGAAGAAAACCGTATACAACAAGGTAATTTGCAAAACATACTATTCCTCCTCTCACCATAAAGTATATATATCTTCTAGCCAGATTTAAACATGTTCGACTCTCCGTCCGTCCGTTTCCTCGCAAACTAATCTCTTAGTTTAAAAACTATCTGCATGAAACTTTTCAAAATGTGTTTTATTTTTGCAGGTATATATTTTATCAAAATCGGATGACTATATCATGAAGGAACCATCAAAAAAATATTTAAAAACAAATTATAACTTCGTGGTTTTCAATTGATTTAAAAACATTTCGATAATTTCGCTAATTAGTGATTGAATATTTGGTCATTGCGACTCGCGAGATATGAGCAAAATAACATTAGCATTTAACTCAACTGTTCGTTATGTGCTTAATTTTAATAGATTTAACCATGTATCACGCTTGACTAATAAAATTCTTGAACTTAATTTAAACTCATGGATTAAATATAAATCTATAATTACTTCTATGAAATTGTGACCAGCCACGAATCAATGTATCCAAACATTAAGCTCATTCCTGCAATATTTCAACGAACTAATAACTAAATATGCCCTCGCAGTCGATCTACGTAAATGCAATCCGATTATGGAACAGTCTACCACATTAACTTAAAACAATTAGGAGCGCAACTCTATTTAAAAAAAAGTAAATTAAATTTACAAATAATAAATATTATTTTAAAAATAAACATATACATTAAATATTTTAAAAATCCGTCAAATAAGATAGTTTCTAGGTGTTAGTCTTTAGTCAATAATGTTTATATTTAATTTTTTTATATTATAATGACCAGTGCCTTAACAATAAGCATATGCTTGCAGCGCTGGGCTAAAATATTGAATAAAATAAAAAAAATAAAATTTCAGATTCACGGTTTCAATTTTATTAACGATGCCTTATAAGCACACAAATCGGAATAGAATTGTTATAAGGAATATTTAAATTTTGCAAAAGCTGCAAGGGTATATAGACATCAGCTTGCCGAAGATTGCTTTCTTTCTCGTTATTATTGATGTATACACACTCGTAATCACGTCTTGAGTCCTTAAAAAATTCACAAAGAATTTTTGCTAACTATCTTATAATTTTATTCACTAAAACCAGATGTACTGAATAAAAAATGCAAACTAATAAATAATGCAGGGTCAACACATGCTAAGAGCGAGCAGCAACTCTTAAAATATCTAAAATGATTGGGCGTTGCCAAGCTTTAAAATAAAATTGCGCAGGCGTAACTTAAATCCACGAGTTAACTCTGACTTTGGCATTACATACCTTAATACTTTTCAACGAAGGCGACATAATGGAATACCAAGTGAAAGTTGATACGTTTTTCATTCTCTTTGTAAGACTACAAAACAAGAGGAATCAGTGCCGGAGGCTATATTTGGTCCAGGAGATTGCTTTGGAGACGTAGAAATGGTTGAGGACTGCCCAAGGATGAATTCTTATCAGCCCATGTGTAAGTACTGAAATTTAATTCGTGGGCAAACCAGTCTCAAATTGTTTTCTTTCAGCTAGTTGTGAGGTCCTATCGATTTACGACGTGGACTATGAGCGCATTTTAAAACCATTTATGTTAAAACAATGGGACGAAAAGAAGCTTGCCTTAAAGGCATTTGACTATTTTGATTTTCTAAACCCGGAGCAGGTGAGAGTCGGGTGGCAGAGCCATACGGTTGACTGATTTTCGTCCCCAGATCATTCTCGCCTGCAAATACGCCTACTTGGTGCAGTACGAACCTTTGGAGACCATTTACCTGGGGGATAAAGGCTCCCTGGGCTTCGTGCGATTCGTTCTTAGCGGAGAGTGCGCCATCTTGCAGTGCTTGAATATGACGGTACATATGTACATTTGTTCGCTGTCAAATTTAATCCGAATTAGTTGGTTTCCATCATAGGCCACCCACAAAGACGGAAAGACCAATTACGAATTGACCGAAATCGACAAGGATAAGGAGGGACTTGATATGTTTCAGTTCTGGAAGGACCTTAGCATGCACTCTTCGTTTGTGGACATCCAGGATATTCTGGCCTCGTCCTCCTCCTCCGAAGAGGTTGAAGGTGCCACCAAGAAGAAGCAGACGGTATTTGTTTTTATTGACAAAACTTAAGCTGTTGTACCTAATGAATTTTTGATAGATGCGCAAAATGGGACTCAACGAAATTCAAAAGAACTGTGGCATACGCACCTCTGTCACACCAAGTCGAAAAAAAGCAAAACCAAGGAGAACAATGAACCTGCAGGCTCAGGCCCAAACCAGGAAAACACAATTAATTCAGTCACTGCGGCGGGGAACTCCTTGGCTGCCGGGCGCTGCACTGGGTTCATACGGGAGCGACGACTCCCTGGACGACAACGAAGACGCCTTCGATTACGGCGAAGATCTCCTTGATGAGTACGCCTCGGATGACAGCAGTTATGATTCGGACAACGTTTCCATGGACAGAACCATGGTGCAAGTTCAGCTTAAGCGACGCTCCGCCAAAAGTCTTGAGGCGGAGAGCAAGGAGTCAAGTACATCATCGGAAATATTCACGGCTAGTTCCTTCTGCAACGATAAAACCAGTTACGATGGGACAAAGACAGGTGCTGTGAGTACTGAACTCATCATAGTGATCTTTTGGGGGTGGTTTGCTTATGGAAAGTCCTAGCTGCGACCAGCCGCTCCAAGGATCATTTCAATTGACACAGTCAAATGATCGCTCTTATCCTTTTAAGGTCCCGGCGGAGACACACTTTATAGACGTGGGCTCACTGACCTATGGAAGCATCTTTGGTCTGGGCGAAAAAATGGAACATCGTGTAATTATGGCCCGCACCGTTGTACAGTGCCTGCTCATCCCGCGCTTCTGGTTGCTCGAAGAGGAGCAGAATCCGGGCAACATTTGGCACCGCCGCAGGTTCTACTTTGAGTGCAATGTGCCCTCGCGACAGGATCTGTTCACCAACTTTCTCAAGACCCGGCAGTGGAACAAATTTCGACACGACTACATTCAAGGCCTGCTAAACCGCGAGGAAAAGGGCAACATCACCAAGGAGGAAGATATTCCAATCATGTGCTGCATCGTAGAGACAAGCGATGATTAAAAGTCAGTTCCAAATTTCCTGTGCTCTTCAATAAAATAAGCTTGCAGTACTTTGAGTCTTTGACCTAATCTTGGGTCAATAACGTGTGGGTGAAAATTAAGTAATTTATTCGCCAACCATTTATGGGCTTATGAAATTGCTCATTTTTTGTTTTAACTATACGATTTTACGCAAGTGCGACAAGACAACCTATGACGATTTATTTAAAAAGTACAATTTTGCTCAAATTTTCAAAGTTTCATTTGCACTTTAAGTTATCGCAAATTATTTTAAAAGAATAAATTTCTGTTCTTGCGGAACCGAATCCGTCAGCTATAAGTTTAGCGAAAATTTTCCATGAGTTTTTTGCGGAAGTTAACAAAGAATTTACAGAGGGAACTTAGATACCGTGCAAATCTTTCGGAAGTGAAAATTGGAACAGGCCTGTGAAATTCGAATCCGTGTGAATCTTTTAGAAGTAAAAACTGGAACATGGCTGTATAACTTTGCTGTTTTTTAATTTTTTGTTTAGATCTTCGAGAACTAATTTAATATTTCAGAATAATGGTTTAAATTTGATTAAATTCATCCGACTATAACATATAGCACCCTCGGAAACAAAGGAAATATTAAAAAAAAAAAAATTTTTAAAAAGTAATTTTATTTTTTTAATTTTTAAAAAAATTCTTTTGGACATATATATGTCCAATATATAATTTAGAATTACGCTTTTAATTTTATTAAAATCAGAAAACGATATTATGTAGCTGCCATAGGAAAGATCGAATAATTGAGCTAAAAATCATGATAGCTTTAATGTTTTTAAACATAAACTACTAATATAGATATTATAAAAATTGTTAAATTTTTCTAATAGCCGCTAGAGCTTATATATGTATATTGTTTTGCCCAAGTTTTTCGAATGTTTTTTTTTTAATTGACGCAACTGTTGTGGATAGATTTTTTGCTCATTAATAAACAAAATTGGCAATAAAAAACAAAAATAGTGATTTCTTCAAAAAAAAAAAAAGGGCGAATGCAAATCAATCATAAGTATTTCTTAATATTTTTGTGTTACGGCTGAATAGTATTGCTTTCCAAATTACGCGTCACATAAAAATAACTTGAAAACAACAAGTCCTCAAAGATTTTTTGAAGTAAATTAGTTTCAAAAAGTTTAATTTTTGTAATTTTGTTTAACGTTTAAGAAAGTACCAATGCCGCGACCCTGAAAATAACCCTATTTGTGGCTTTTGTACTTAAACGAAGAAAATATTACAAAAATTATAGTTTTCATAAATGCTTTATATATACATATATAAAATATTATTTCAAACCTTATAATTGGGTTTTTTGCGTTAAGAAATATTTTAAGCTTTTAAACGTGTATCCTGTTAAATGTAAGGATTAAGGGTTAGTAATCAAGCTTCTAAGCAATGTATTTTCAATAACAAAAACGTCCACTGAAAAGTTGACGCAAAAAACATTTTTATATGGAATATTTTTTTTTCGAAAAACATATTATTACCTTGAATATTTTCATTTTTTTAGTGGGACCGTTTTTAGGACATTGGTTTTTAAGAAGCTTGTTTGGAATTTCATTAGTGAGCGGTGTGGACTTTTCGAATGCATTTTGTGCAACGGTTTTCCAGCCAATTATGTCCGCATATGTGCATGCGCTCTTCTCTTCCTACGTCATACAGGAAATTTAGGTTAACTGTTTATCCGAGAATGGAGGTCTGGTAGGGGCAGCCCTACCGCATTCGGGAGCGAAACTGGAGCACAGCTGAGCGGCGGGCAAAAGGCACCCAAGTAACGGTATTGGGGGCTCGTGGTAGAGCGACCTTAAGGCTTTTCGCTCTCGCTCTCTGAGGTGCGTGCGAGAAAAGCTGTATAGTTGCACCATGATTGTGGCCTTCGAGTGTCGGTGTTCTACGAACACATGTACGTATAGAAGGTGGCCCCGTTAGCTCTGCCGAGGACGATAAATTTTTCAGAGACAAGCACTAGAAAGAGATAGCAACCGTTTTCTTTCGCACGTTTGAGAAACGACTGGTACAAATAACATACTCAAAAAAAAGCAGCTCGTGCGTCGAGACCGCCTTGTATAGTTGCACCATGGCCGAGCCAATTTATTATACGCCGAGAGAAAAACACGGAACAAGAGAGCCAACAAAGCAAGAACAGAAGATTGGCAGTACACTTGGAAAATTAACTGCAACTTATGTATTTAGCTGGTGGTTAACGACGCACCACCATACACTCTAGACTTATACACTGTATGCGTAAAATAGTTCCAGGTTTCATTTTACATTTCGCGGGTAGGCACTTATTTGAGGAAAAGGCTTGTAGACAATGCAAAAATAAGTTGCTAAGCCCAGGAAATCTAAGGGATTCGCGGCTAAGTAATATTTTGATCCAAGATTATTCAAAGTTTTAAAGAGACAAGCAAATGCCATGACAAATCTTTGTGCTGAAGAATTTGCGATTATGGACTGCCTAAGCAAAGCTGGCCAGACAACGATCGTTTTTCCTTTGTGGCAAAGACAAATATCTTTAATGGACTTGCTGCACATTGCATTCTGTATGCTGCAACAACGTCACCTTAAATTAAGCTTTGCGTGTTCGATGACTTTACTACAGACTATTAAATCGATTTAAAAATAATGAAATAAATGAAAATCTATGTTAAGAAATAAATTTAGATAAAAAATTAAAATAATAATAAAAAAGTTTACAAAATGAAAAAAAAAAAATACCCCTAAGCCAAAAATACAAATTTCTGGTAGAATAGCTGACGTGTATCCCACTAAAAAAAAATTTCTTTGGGACAGTTTTTTTTTTCAGATTTCTTAAAGTTTTTTTCAGCTGTATTTTCAAGATTTATTTTATATCTCGAGTTGTGGCCAACTGATCTTAGTGCATTTTACAAAATTGTACTACCAATAGATCAATCTTTTACATTGTCATACTGAGTAATTGGATTGGATAAGTCATTTGTCTGCAAGAGCTCGACAAATGAAAATGAAAAAATGTTGCTGTTTTTCCATTGATTTGAATATACTTCGATTTATAGCAGTGGTCGGCACACATACTGTAACATGCTCGCTCTTCTTTGTGTGAGTAATTTGCACTGCCAAACTTGTCAGTGTGTGCGCATTTTTAAACTGTTCGGGTCAGCCTCTTCCGCCGCGTTGCTGCTGCTCTGCCGAGTTGACCCGAGCCTATATAGAGCAGTGGTCGGCACAGCTCCTATTCCGTGAGCATAGGCGAAGGCATGGTGCATCTATACAAGGTGGTTCCAGCACACGAGCTGCTCTCTTTTGGGGACGTTATTTTTACTAGTCGTTTGTCAAACGTGCGACAAAAAACGGTTGCTATCTCTTTCTAGCGCTTGTCTCTAAAAAACATATCGTCCTCGGCAAAACTGATGGGACCACCTTGTATAGTTGGGTGAAGGTCTTGCCGGCAGAGCAGCAGCAGCGCAACGGCAGAGACCGACACGAACAGTATAAAACCGCACGCACACTGATAAGACTCTCCGTGCAAATTACTCACATAAAGAAGTGCGAGCTCAATAGCAGGGATAAGGTGATCTCATCAGGACGATACATTTTTCGGAGACAAGCGTTAGAAAGAGATAGCAATCGTTTTACTTAGGCAGATTTGACAAACGACTGTCAAAATAACGTCCTCAGAAGAGAGCAGCTTCTGCGTTGAGATCACCTTATATAGTTACACCACGGTCGCACGGCTCCTATTCTGTGAGCATAGGCGAATGTCTTGCCGGCAGAGCAGCAGCAGAACCGTGGCAGAGGCCGACACGAACAGTATAAAACCGCACACACACCGACAAGACTCGCTGTACAAATTACTCACACAAAGAAGTGCGAGCACTGCTCTGTACTCACAGAATACGAGCCGTGCCGACCACTGCTATAGAGCTAGAGATAGGCCTTTGTCGACCACTGATATATAGCAATGGTTTTATATATCAGAAAAACCATCAAAGCTTAACTCCTTTTTAGGCACAAAATCGTTATAACAAATATTTAAATTTTCCATTAGCTTCAAGGGTATGTAAATTCGGCTCGCCGAACTCTTCTTCCTTGTTATCAGTAAATTTTCTCCATAAGGGGAAAGGGAAAGCCAAAGAAGCCACTTCATCGTTCTCTCTTTTCTCCAAAGGTGACCCACTGCGCAATAACAATACATACGTCACGAAGACCCAAACCCGCCCACTCACGATTTTTTTAGAACTGCAGCTTAGCTGTGTGATTGCTTCGGGGTCATATGCATATACATATGTACATAACCTGCTTATCGCATTTTATAAGCAAATTGAAGGCCATGCTTTAAAAGGCATAGCCGTTACCAAAGGCTTGACATTTGCCTTCATTAGGCTTTATATGTATATAATGTCAAGTAAAAAGTAATCCATTATTTGAAGAATATATCCGAATATAATTTTAGTAGGTGTCGTTAGAAAGTTGAGCGCTCGTACAATAAAAAAGTTTTGTGATCGATAAAACAATCGCTTTGAGAGCTCGATAAATATGATGGAGACCGGCAAAGAAAAAATTCGGCATATTTAAAAAATTTTCTTTGACAAAAGCGAAAACACAAGCCAGGCAGCTGAAAATGTAAATGGAGTATATGGTCCTAATACTGTAACTTCCAGCCAAGCACAATTCTGGTTTCGTCGATTTCATTCAGGGAATTTAAAGATGAGGCACGCTGCGGAAAGTCAATCTCAAAAAATGCCGACAAAATAATGGAAATCGTTGAGTCTGACTGACTCATTCAAGCAGTAAATCAATTTCCCAGGAGCTCAAAAAACCATTTGGAACCATTTAACAAAGGCTGAATACACAAAAAAGCTCGATGTATGAGTGCCACATGAGTTATCAAGAAAAAACGAATTTCGAACTGCGAATCGCTGCTGAATCGCAACAAAACCGACCCGTTTTTGAAGCGGATGGTGACTGGTATTAAAAAGTGGATCACTGGGGTGGGAAATC